GCTGAGCGTGGCTACGAATGAACGGTCCGGGCACGGGGAGAGCGCGTTGGGCACCGCTCCGCGTGGGGTGATCGCAACTCTCAAGAGCTGAGGATGGCTCGGGAGGGGGAGGGAGCGGAGGGAAGGGGAATCCCTTTCTGGGCTGCGAATGGAGCGTGGGAGAGGGGCTCGGAACGGAGGTCAGTTCGGCTCTGCCGGGAGAGACCCAGATGTGCCGCGGCCGCTGTACGCGTTCCCTCCGAGCGGAGCCGGCGGGCAGCGGCGTACTCGCGTGGACGCGTCCGTAGACTTTGCCGTACCTCGACGGGATGCGCGCCGGGGTGTGATCCCGGTAATGCCTCTAACGGGAGCGCTAATTACAGGAGGACGATTTGGCAAATGAAGTGAGAGGATGCACCCCCAGCCCCGAGCACCAGATGAACTTTTCCAAACACACACGCACACACGCGGTAATTTTGGTATGCTCCCTCGGCCAATCGCCGCGCTCAGCCCGAGCATGCCTTACCCTAGCGCAGTCAATTACCGGCGCTCCCCGGGCTCATCAATCACGGGGCGCCTCCAGTGAGGGGAGGAGCGAGCCTCCGACTATCGATCGCTGCAGTTTTGTCCTCCCCAGCCCCCAGCCTCGTTCACGGTCCCCTGCACATAAAATCTAAACCAGACTATCCCGTTAATAGCGGGATTTATCAATGATTGTGTACCCGGTGGTGAATGTGGCCTCGTACATAGGTGGCTTTTAGAAATACACGGCAGAAAAAAATAAGAACTATGTGATTTATTCGGGTAGGGGTTGGCGTGTTTTGCGTTGCTTTTCAGGATGAGAGTGACGATTTTAACTTTTTTCTTTTTTTCTTTTTTTTCTTTTTTTTTTTTTTTAACTTTAAGAAAATGACTCGGGGGCAGTTGCAGATATTTGGCCTGATTTTAATAGGCGCGGGGAATGAGCTCCAGAGGTCAATAAACCCCTCCAAAATGATGAATGATTGAGTACCTGTGATGATGATAGTGATTACCGGAGCAATTAAACAGTTTGATTAAATGAGCCATCATAACAATGATGTCTGCGGGAAATCAGCCCTCACATATAAAGAAAGATAGCGTGGGGCTGACGGACGCCAGTGGGCATCCCCCGAGCTCCAGCAGCACCCGGCCCGGCGGCTGCGGGCTGGAGAAGGGGAGAAGTGGCCCCGATGTCGGCCCCGGTGTCGGCCGGAGCTGCCCTCGTTCGCTGCCCGGAGCCGGGCTCGACCCCGCAGTGCTTTTCTGAGAGGATCTCCTCCGAGATTAAAGCTAAATCCTAAGAGCAACCGAATGGCTGCGCCTGGCTTTCCCGGGACTGGGAGGAGAGGTGAGTAGAAAGCCCTCAGTATGGAGATCTCTTTTGAGCAGTGGTGAAGTCGTTGCGTTTCGCAGGGAAAAGAGGGGACGCTCGTGCAGTATTTTATACTCTGTCGTATAAATCGGGAACGTAATTCAGGATATTCATGGTAATGAATGCTCGACTAATCCTTTGGGTGCGCGGAGACCTACAGAGCAGGAGGTTATGCAAATCTTTTCCTACTTTTACAGCTGTACATTTCGAACAGATTTTTAAGAGATCTGCTCAGCGGTGAATGCTATTTGTTTTTTATGATTTTTTTAATTTCCTTCTCTCTTCCCCCCACTACCCAACCCCCCACCCCGCCACTAGGATGCCCGATTTCCAAACTGCCGAGGCATCCCTTCATGGCGACGCAGCCCATGCGGGAAGCTCAGGGACGCGTTGTAAATATTTGCAGCTCCCAAACGGATTTTGCAGCCGTGCCCCCTGCTGTGCCCGAGTGCGCCTCGCTCCGAAAGGGTCGGTGGCACAGAGAAGGGCTCTGTCCCTGGCGCGCGGCCGTGCAACAGTAATCCGTTCCCTCTGAGGGCTCCGTGTTTGCTCAGATCTCAGACTGGGGAGAACTTCACCACTCTTCTTCTCAAAGAGAAGTTTTTTCACAACTTTGCTCCCATAGCAGAAGGCACGTCGTTGTTTAGGATATCATTTTAGACTTCTTTTTTTAATTATTCTGTTTTTCACAGGAGCTCCTTTAAGTCCCGATTCTTCGGAGCAGGGAATTGTTAGAGAGCAATCTAAAATCCAAGATGTAAAAAAAAAAAAAAAAAAAAAAAGCAGCCAAAAATATTTTTTTTCTTCTGTTCTGTGCAGCTCCTTTCATTTGCTCAGTTTTGCTTTTGTTTTTTTTTTTTCCCCCAAACCAATGACCCCCCCCGCGCTATCTCGACCGCTTGTGTGTGGGACAGGGACCAACTTTTCAAAATGATTTTAACTCGAGAGAAAGTGCAATTTCATCTGGCAAACGGAGGGCTTTCATGTTCCTCTTGCTCTTACGCCTTTTTTTTTTCTTGAGTCGAAGCCTTTTTCCTCTGCACTATCCCAGTGGATTAAGGCACGCAGAGAATGCGGTTATAAAGCGCTACAGTTTGACCATTAAAAGAGAATGTCAATGTAGCACCCTTCAGTGAAAGTACGCAGCTCTAACAAAGATGCTTTGGGGAGCTCAGAGGGAAATGGGATCCGTGCACCCAGGGCTGGGGGGCTTCTACGTCCTCAGGTCATTTTAAATTTGCTTTTTAATTATTATTATTATTATTATTATTTTCAGCGTTGTGACATACTTCTTTTAAAACACAGTAATTCGGGAAAATTAAATTGGCCAATTTCCATTTCTCGTGCATCACTTTCACGGCAGAGGCTGTTCCCAGGACAAGTGTGAGTGGTGAGGTGATGCGGTGTGTGCTGGGCTTGTTTTATTATTGTTTTTTCTTTCTTTCTTTCTTTCTTTCTTTCTTTCTTTTTCTTCTTTTTTTTTCTTTTTTCTTTTTTTCTTTTTTTTTTTCTTTTCAGATCGGCCCCAAAGTCCAAAGAGAAATGAGGTGTCCGGTGTGGAAGTGCATCTCAGTCAACAGCCAGCTCCTTTGGCAGGGGCTGGAAATGGTTTTAACAGGCGGTAAAATTTCATCTTGTGGTGTCAAATTGGGGTCAGTTTGGGGTTAGCGCTCTCAGTGTCCGAGAAGGAGCTGTCCAGCTGTGTGGGGATTCATTAAGGGCAAAAGATCCGTTTCAAGAAAAACAATACAAAGACAATCAGAGAGCTAAAGATCCTCTTCAAATCGCATTTTACAAGTGCACCAGAACAAATATGGACGCTGAAACCTATTCCCTTCAAACTCCCAAATCGGCTTCTTAGCCTTCGGAGGGAGGGAAAATCCGCTGCAGCCCGGCCGGGTCTGCTTCCAATCACCGCCCCGAGGTGCGCCGGGCCCCGCGCCGCCCTCACCCGCTCCCCTCTCCCTTTCGGCACAGCGCTGCGGAGCGATGGCACCACAACAGGTAACATCCCGGAATGTGTCCCCCAGTGTGTTTGAGCCACTGCTGTGTGTGTGCCCGTGGGCGTGCAGCGGGAGCTTCAGTGCGGATAGGAAGTTTTTTTTCGAGGGGACAAACTGTGCTTGTATGAAACCCGCTTGTATCCTTCCGAAATGTCCCGCAGCCCTCTCAAGAAGCGCTGGGCTCTGATAGATAACGCGGAGTGGATGTGCCGTGCGGTTCCCAGCATCTGGGGGAAGCACCTATTGCTAATCTGGTTTATTAAATTCGCGTGGTTTAAATCCTCTTAGCGCCCCTACATCAGTTAGAACAATTGACGCCTTGCTGCAGGGACAAATAACTCTGGCCGTAATCTCGTTTGTAACTTTATTCAATGTTTGTTTGTTTGTGCGCGGAGTTCGAGTATTTGGGGCGATGCCATTGCATTCGGGAGTATACCGCGTACATTTAGAGACAGAGCCGGAATGGATGGGCTGAGGGCAGAGCAGAGCGGAACGAGTAATTCCGAATATTGGAAGTAGCATTTTATCCCGAACCATCGTTCTAGGAAACGTGTCAGAGTTAATGAAGAAAGCAGTCTATGTGTTAATGCGTCTTCGGGCTTCCAGCATAACCAGGCTCCTGTGCAAAATCCACGGGATTTGTTCTTTGTGCTTCTCTCCCAAGACAACGCGTGGGGTGCAGATAGCACCTCTGCGGTTTTGGAGTCAGGATTATTCTCCAGCTCAGACTCCCACCTCTGAAATCGCCCTTTGCACACTCTCCCTGCTTGACTCTTATGGCCACTTCTGTCTCTCTCAGCCCACCTCGGCCCTCTGACCTCCCTTCCCGGGCTTCCGCAGCCGCCCGGCTCCCAGGTCCTGTCCAGGCCGCCCCGGCGGAACGCCGCAAGTCTGAGCTCCTCGGATCGCCGGATTCATGGAGCTCCTCACCCCGACCCCCCTCCTGCCCGCAGCGCTCTCCTCTTTGCAGTGATCTATTCTTTTGAGAAAACCTTTCCAGCACAGAAAGTCAATGGTAGCCCATCGCGGTGAACTTTTCTTGACCTCAGCTGCGGTATGGCTGCGGTCTTTGGGAGCTGGATTAGGAGGAGGTTCATTGCTTACCTGTTAACTTCCCTTTCAACTCTTGCTTCCACCCCTCCCCCTCTTTTTACAAAACCCCAACGCAACCTCCACTTCCTAGAGCGATGTGGCTCCTTCACCTCTCTCGAGCCCCCACAGTCCCCCCGAGACTGCCGAGACCTGCCCGGGCCCCGCGGGCCGCCCCCCCAGGCCGTGTCCCCGCGGCCGCGGCGCGGCGGTGCCATCGGCGGCCCTCTAGCGCTATCTGGCGGGGCTCCAGCGTGCTCCCGTCGCGCCGCGCAGTCCTCGCAGGGCCCGCAGCCCGGCGCCAGCGGCGCGGAGCCCGCAGCGGGGCCGAGGAGAGGAACTCTCTTGCGTGGCCGTGGACGCTCGCCAGACTCGCCCCTACCTGCAGCTCCGCACGGCGGCCGCGGTGAGAAGGGGGGACCTAAGGGGCTCCCGCCCCTTCTCCGAGCGACTGAGCCCATGCTTGGGTGCGTGGGAAGCACCAGCGTGAAGTGAGCGGCGAGATGTGTATGCCGTGGACTGGCAGGGGTGTACAGGGAAGTCTGTAAGCAGCGCCATGCATATTTCCAGCGTAAACCAGAGGGACAAAAATACCGGTTTGGGCTGCCCAGTAAAGCTGCTTCTACCAGAGTAGTTCAAAATCTATATTACATTTCTTCGAAGGAGCCCAAAACATAATACACATAAGTAAACAAATAAAAATCCCTCTTTGCACTATGATATCGTAACAGAAGGGACAGTGAGGACAAGCTCGTCAGCGTAGCGCAACATCAGAGCAGCTGAGGAGCTCCCAACTCCGCCAGGCTCTGCTTTCGTTCACTCAGAACACTCACTGTTGTTCCCCAGTTGCCCTTGGCACTTCGGAAGAGGACCCGCTCGCGTTTCACGCCGGAGCTCTCAGTCCGGGAGAACAATGTGCTCCCACCCCCCACTCCCCTCCTCGGAACGCTGCGCCAGCCTCCGTACAAGCGGTAGCTCTGGCGCGGAGCGCCCCGCTCGGAAGGAGCCGCACGGGCCATTGTCTGAAGTGGGTTGCAGTCCACAGAGAAAAGGGGGAAAAAATCACAGCAGCCGGCTTGGTGTTGCATGGGGAATGAGCTGACAAAATATTATAATGTTTCCTCGAAGTGCGTGCTGAGAGCCTGTGGTGTGCTACTGAAAGAGAGGTGGTGGTGCTTTTCTTTCACTCTTCTCTCTTTCTCTCTTTCTTTCTTCGAAGATTGGGATGGCCTTTGTACGCCTGTCTTTTGATCCCACAAAGAGAATGCAATATGCATATATGTGTTTGCTTTCCGCACAAACAACGAGAGGGACTGTACGACGGGATATACGGCCGATTGGTCCTCATAATGCTTAGTTTTGTTGTAATTAATTGAAAACAGTTATTAGGTCGTCATTGGCAATAGCGTAAATAATTGCAGCAGATTTTTACTTAAAATTGACCGGTCACGGAGTGATAGATCGATTCGAGGTATAAAAATGATGTATCAAAACATCAATGTCGATTATTTGAAATATTGTAGTCGAATCTTTTTATTGCTTCATCGGTTAAGTGTCTGAAAGTGCTGTGTTCCAACATATATTTATGTTGTCAATACTGTCAAAACTGTCAGTTTTATTACACCAGATTTGTAATACATTTCGGATTTGCTCATTTACATAAAATGGCCACCCCGGGTACCCCCCCTTCTCCCCTCTCTGAAAATCTCTGTCAATGCTGAAAGGATCCGGGACCCACAGCTGAGGCAAAAGAAGTAGAAGTATGGCTCCGTTAAGTCCATTTCGAACGTCCCTCTGGAAAGCTCGGGCTATTTCTAACTTGCCATCAGAGGGAATCCTCCCACCCTTTTATCTCCCTAGTAAGATTTAAACGCTTTTCTTCTCTCACACCTCGGTTAAACCCTTTAGGAGCTCCGAGAACTTGCACGGAGAGAACGGCGAGCCGGAGCCCACCTGGGAGTTCGGAGCCCTCCGAGCAGAGCGTCCCCGACCCATCCGTGTAGGGCCGGGTGCTGGTAGCAGTGGGTAACAAAGGGAGGGATGACCATAGGGAATCCTTCCTTAGCTGGTTAAAGCCCTAAGGAAAGCAGAGCGGGAGCAGCATGGATGTTATGTGTCCCCTGTCCCGCAGCCCCCATGCAGCAGAGTCTGAACTGATGATTCTTTTAGCCGTGAGCCCTGAGTTGGTGTTAGCTCGGTGCCAGGCACCCCTCTCTCCTTTTCCTCCCGCGCCCAGCCGGGACGCGGCCAAACTCAGCAATAAATCAATCCACTGCCACATCACTCCCTTCTATCGAGCAAACACTGCGATCAGCGGGTCACTTCTCCTCCCACTCCACCCGTTCTGAGGCTGACGCTGCTTCACGGGCTAGGGAGACAGACCCGATGTGCGGGGGTAGGGGGAGGTGGTGGTATATCTTTTTTTGTTTGTTTGTTTCCTTTTTTTTTTTTTTTTTTTTTTTTTTTTTTTTCCCTCCCTCTTCTCCCCTTTCCCAGGGAGATGTACGGTTGAAGAGCCGCTGGAGCGAGCCCGAGTTCCCGGGGAGAAGGAAGGCTGGCCCGTAGAGAGGCAGCCAGCAGGTATTTCAGTGACCGTTCCTTTGAACGCGTTCAGTCTCTGCCTTTTCCATCCGGAACGTCTTCCTCAGACCAACTGTGATTTCTGCTGTAATTCTTGTGCGTGTTTACGATCGCTTCGGAGGTAAATTGAGAAGTGAGCTGCGCAAAAGGAGGAAATCGCCCCTGGGGTGCTTTGTTTACTTTGGTTTGTAAGATCCTGCTAGGAGATGGTTGCCGCAGTGTGTGGCAAGTGCTTCTTCGAGAAATCTATCAGCCTTTCTACGGTGACTCCGAGGAAAGAGTGCTGCCAGCACTTTCGCGCATTCCCAGGTGTTGCGAAGAGGGGAGAAGCAAAGGGCCGGAGCGCCTCATGAGGGGTGGAAGCGGGGAGGGTGAAGGGGCACCTGGGGAGGGGAACCCGCCCAGTGCGTGTGGGACCGCGTGCCGGTCAAGGCCGGGGAACGCGCCCCTTCTGCCATAATTAGTCGGAACAATAAACGTAATTGGAATAAAATCGGTTGGAAATTCCTGCGTTTTTAATTACGTTTCATTTTGCGGTAAGCCGTAGAATTATAAATGCCTCTCAATTAAACACTATCCGCTTGTAAAGCATTTAACAACAATTATTCCTTAATCAGTTGGAATGTTAGCCACAGACGATGCTGTTAAACATCAAAGGGACGCCTCAGACGTTACCTTTTAGTAATAAGTAAGAGGATTAATTTCTATAATTAGAGGGGATAAATATGTGCATAAATACATCTAATTTTTTGACACGTTCCCATCCCGGCTGGGAAAGGCGCGGCTCTTCGGCAGCGCCCGCACCGCCCGCGCTCCCGGCCCGGGGGAGGCGGCCCCCGCAGCGGCGCGGTGCCAACAGCCTCCGGGGGCTCCGCGGCCGCCGGCACCGCACGGGGCTGGGGCCCGCAGCGCCCGCGGGTCCCCGCGGTAACGCGCAACCTTCCTCGGGTTGTATTGACGTGGGTGTGTACATATTTTAGCGGCACCTGCGGTCTACCTGGTGTTTTAGGTCCCTCGGGGACAATTCGCTGCCTCCAAACGAAGCCCGAGATTTGAGTGGAATACCGCAAATAAAATTAGCGTGACCTTGATTATACCCTGTATGAATATCTCATTTACGTAATGACTTTATGTCACGTACGCGGAGGGTCAATTTCCTTTTAACCTTTCCCATTGCTGCAGTAAGCATTCTTTTATAATCAATGGCTGTTTGAATAATCAATTCACATTTTATGATCCCTGACAAACTCAATATATGTGTGCCTTGTTTCAGCAAAGCAGCCTATCCTTCTCCGCGGCTTTTTCACGTCCGAAGAGTTTGCGGCGGGGTTTCCCGGCTCCCTGGGGAGGCTACGCGGGATGAAGCGGGCAACGGAGAGCCGCGCCTCGGAGGGAGGCTTAGCGCAAGCGGACAAGCTCAGGGAGCCTCGGTGACATCCAGAAGTCCCTTGAATTTCACATGTTTTTCCAATCGCTCAACCCAAAATATATGGTGTCTTCCTTTCCCACCCCCCTCCTTCTTTCTAGGAATGTGCGTAATAAAACCTAATCGCCTGGGACTCTCCTCCTTTCTGCATCTGCTGGACACGAAGCCGCGGGGGGACAAGGTCCTCCCGGCTCTGAAGCCGAGCTGCTATGGGACACCAGGCGGCCTCGGCCACGCCTGCACGTGGGAGACCCCGAATGAGCCTTTGAGCTACATTAACTATCCCGCTGCCGTCTGGGGCTCCCTCGCCAGCAGCAGCTCTCTTCGCCTCCTGCAGCCATCTCCGAAGCGGAGGTCGGGACACTCACCTCAGAAGCGCAGCTCCTGTCCAAGACAAAGTGTGAGTGCCGGGGCTGGGGGCTGGGGTATGTTGAACTCTCTCTCTATATATTTTCTATAAGTAGCTCACTTTTGCTGTGATCTATGGTGTAAGTCAGGAACTGAGACTTACTGCAACCCTTCTTCCTCTATTGGATAATTAATGCTGATTCATAGCTGTTTCTACCTACAAATGTATGTTTCGTTTTTCTCTGCAGGGTCCATGGTTCTTTGGAATGTTGTTATTCCCTGAAAGGTAATTGCACTTGATATTCTCTCGGGGAAGGCTCATTAGCCAGGGGCAGGGTGGTGTTGCCAATCTCAGGCTCTTTCGACAATTCAATGAAAACATTTGCCCCAGAGGTTTAGAACAGTTCTCCCAGCTCATGAAACAACCCTTGGAAACAGCATTTCCCCTAAGAAACCTTAAGACTAAAAAATAGTATACACGTACATATATATATATATATATTTCCAAGCAAAGCAAAGCAGGAAACATTTATTTCTTAGGGAATTCAGTTTAACCCCTCACTGTAAATGACCAAAGCTATGTGAGAAGATCAGAACTGTTACACCACGCTCAACATCACTCTCCCCGTGTATGATCTATCAGAAGATACACAGCATACAGTCCTGCTCGAGACAGCAGAAAACACAACACACCTTCAGCTCCTCTGTGTGCACTTCTTGACACTCTCTTCACATTCACGAAATGCATGTCAGAAACACTTTTCAGCTGCCCACCATCGCAGACCTACATTTGACTCCTTTCTCACACATGCCTGCTGTCATCTCTTTGGCTCCTTTCATCTCTCCTGTGAAATTAATTACTTCACTAATGCAAGGGAATGAAACACAGGTATAAGGTAAGCGAGGAAACATACATTAGTTAATACGTATTATTTTATGAAGGTGAACACTCTGGGATTGTTCTGATTTTACTTTTTCCTCAGTTGTTCATCATTTTGAGAAACTTATTCTTCCACCTGAATCTCTGCAGGTTGAGCAGGATGAGTCACAGCAACACCGAGAGAATGGAGGATCCAGTTCTTGCAGGACAGAATGGTCCCAAAGGATCCATAAAGAGGAAGAAGAGGGACAGTGTGCAGGCTTAACAATTTCTCAGACAGGTTTTTCATGTCAGAATAAAATAATCTGGATGTCTGCAGTTGCAGTGAACTAGATGGGATATTATCCCTACCTTGGCATTAAAGGGCAGAAACTCTCTTAATTCCTATAACTGAAATGTCTAACCACCTTGCTGTGTTTACATGCTTCCATTCACCACATTTTCCACCACTGAAGTTAGCCAATAAAGTCAAAGAGTGAAACTCATCTGGGCAGTATCCCTACTGACTTTAATGCTGATAACTTAGGGAGGAAATCGTGCTGCGATGTGTGACTACAACTAATGTCCAAAGGTCCAAACATCCAAAACAAAGACATTAGTGATTGTAAACCTCACTCATCAGAAGGGCTGCCAATCAGCCCATAGGTCTCACCCACAGAGGAAACAAAAGCTCAGAGAAAATCTCCTCAAGCCAGCGAATCTCTGCAGACAACGTTTTAAAAACTGATAGCTTTCAAGTATCCTCAGGCCCAAGTTCCATTGTCTGAAAACTACATGAATGGAGAACACAGGGCTCTGCATGCTGAATTTGAAAAGTGCCACTGTCCCCGTGCAAGTGCTCAGTCTTCCTGCTCCTCCTGATGGCACATGTGGATAAGCACCAGCCTTGAAGTAAGCCCTCAGCACAGGAAGCATCAGTTCTTTAATTCATATTTCAGGGATTTGCAGCCAAGTTTTTCGTTTGTCATATTTAGATATTTCTCATGTTATAGTGGTACATTCTTCTTCAAAGTGTTTTTCAAAATCAGCAGACTTTTCAGGGATGAAACATGATCATTTACTATATTCCATTTTAAAAGTACGTGCTAATTATCAAATTAATCTTATAATACTTCATATACATTTATAGACAATCAAAAATATTGCCACTGATATGCAAATAAATATCTCTAGCAGAAGGCTTTCTTTTGATGTAGAGAAATGCAAACAACATTGAAAAAAATAGCATACAAGTGGTTGTCCTGGTCTCTTACCTTAAGGCTATATTACAATCACAATCAGACATATCTCGGCATGTGTCACACCAGATAATGCTGTTTCTTGGGCGTTTGAGGCGTATGACTTTACCTTGGACTTCACAAAAGCTTCACAAAAGAGACATGCCATTTAAAAACACGAGTCTGGCATTACTGAAAACCCTCACATACTGTACTCACGTATATCATTGTTAACCTACATGTGAGATTTTTTAAAAAATTGCCTCACATTTAATACTGAAGTCATTTCACTTCTATTATTCATGTGAAGAGCTAAAAATAAGCATCTGAAATATTTTTCTCTTTTATGGAACAGCTGATAAAAGCCTTCATTTGAAGTAAACTCTTGGATGAATGCAGCGTTATTTTCTAGGCTCAGATCTCTTGTACCCAGTTGGGAACTTCACATCAAATCTGGGAAGTACATTGAATCTTCAGAGAAAAAGGGCTCTATACCTCAAAATATTCATCAGGAATAGCTTAGGCAAACAGTTTCCAGCCTAAAACTCATCCATGACGTGTTCATTTGGGCTTTTTGTTTTGTTATTCTTGATGTGTCACTGGTCACCTATCACACTTGCTCTATTTCCCAATAGGTTGAATGAAATTATTTTAAAAAGAGACTAAACAAATAATAAAAGTTCACAACACATATGCTTGTCTGTGTATGCATGCTTTTGTTCTGTGCAGTTATTCATAGAAAGCCTGATTTTGCCTCCATTCAATTTAATATAGTAGGATTTAATCCATAAAGAAAATAGATTTACCTAATGCTTGTTAAGGGAAAATCCTTGCTTTAATTTTCGGTTGTATGGCCATGATCAGAACAAGACTCCTGATCTGAAACCCCTAGACTGCTTTTTGAATAGAGTTGCAGTAGCAGCCAAGGAACACAACCAATTTTGTCGCTATAGGTTAATTTCAGCTTTCAAACATTATTGGAAATAATCGATCACCTTTCTTCCCCTCCCCCAGCTGAACCTTGGATTGCTTCCTCTAACAAATGGCTCTGGGCACTGAAGTAAGAACCGACTGTTTGATTCAAAAGAAAATTTCTTTTTTCCTATTGTTCCCAGATTTCATTCACTGAAAAATGTCCAGTCTGCACCCAATACATTCATGGTAACTGTTCCTGAAATAAACGTCTAGCAAGATTCTTAATAGTTGAGAGAGGCACTGGTTTAATTATATAATCCCCCACAAATGTGAATAAACCAGTATAAAGATCTAGGCCCTGTTTTCCTTCAGCGTCTAGCAGTTCAACAGACATTCCTTTTAGGTAAACAAGCACAGAAAGAGCCAGATTCAGGGCCAATTGTGTTGTGAGAAGCACTGAAGTACTCTTCTCGATCTATGTCCCACACCCCCCCCTGGAAAGGATATATTATTAGTATTCCTAAGTTGTTGAATTATTCTATTAGATTTACTATAGCCACAAAAAAAATATTTCTCTGATAATAAAATACTGTGCTATGAATGAATACTAATAAGTCAGCGTAAAGAATTCTTAATTTTTACTCAAATTGGAAGACCTGAACAGTGTTAGTGAGCTTGAAATATTGAGAGTTCAGTCTCGATATTTCCTTTTGAATAAAATACAACTTTTGCCATTCCAGTGGAACATGCTAAAAAAACCTTAACGTAAGATTAGGGGCGGAGAAAAAACAGCCAAAATGAGTTCATGGACCTCATTTTCTCTTCACTTAAGCAGGAGAAACTCCATTGAAGTTAATGGAATTACAGTGATATAAAACAGTACTAAGGTGAGAATTGGTCCACTTGTGTTTAAATAGATGCTATTACTTTAAAAACAGAGTTTACTTCACTAAACAATCTGCAAATAAACACAAAACAAAGGGCAAATGAGACATATTACAAGTAAGCATGCATGCAAAAAAGGTAAGTGCAAATTAGATTTGAATATTCATGAGTCACAAATCATTGACAGTTTGAAATAATGCAAAACAGCTTTATAAATGAGGTTAAGGCAAGGGACATCATAGAAAGGCATTGCTAAATCAATAGAAATTTGATCGTGCATATACTTGGAAATTGTGGCTACAGTTTTTGAGACATGGGAGAAAAATACTGCGCATGTAGTGAAGAGGGGACACATAAATATTCTCTCTGAATGTGTTACAGTTTTGCAATTCAGCATGTACTTGGAGATGTGCCATGTATAAAGTGACCAGACATCATTTAAAATCTTTTTTTCCCAATAGAGTTATAGTTTCCTTTGAGTATATCCAATCTCCTGTGTTCTGTTGCCTAGCATGACAAAAAATTTAGTTGTCTACAATACCTGTAGAAGAATCCCATAACAAAAAATTAATACTTATCTCAGTTTGGTGGAAGGAGCACTGGCTAATCAGAGTGTTTTCATACAATCATGGCTGGCAGAGGTTATCTACTTGTTTTGGAGGATTTTGTCTTCAGAAGTTCTCAGAGGAGCTGCAGGTCTCAAAGCGGATTGCTGGAGGATGGCAATTTAAAAGGTTGGCCAGCACCATATAAATTAGAACCTTTTATTTTCCCTGGCTGTAAGCATCAATAAAGTGTTGGTTCTCTTGTCTTATTTGTGAGTTCTGTGGATATTTGAAATGGACTGGTAAAAAGTTGATGAGAGTCAAAAGGCAAAGCTGCCAGAAGTAATGTGGTCTTTTAAAATTCCAGTGTATTTTTTTCCCTTTCTTCAGTGTCCTTTACATCCAGTGTGATATTCTTACTTTCTGGTATGACAGATGAAGCTTCACTGGGTCAAGTGAAGCTAAATATATATATTTACAGATACTGATAACAAAACTGAGCAGGGATGTGAATTTGGAAATGGTATAGTGTACTCTGGTTCTTTAAGAAGAAGAAGCACATGACTTCTTGCAGTGCTCTGTTTAAAAGCATCCACTCACATGAATGAAGCTGGCAATTAACTCGTGTCAAAACATTGTAGAAGGAGAAACCCAGATGTCGAATAACTTAGGAAAGGGATAACCTCATGTCCTCCCCAATCCCCTAGATGAGCTTGTCAGAAGCTGATGTGTCTTTCATGCCATCAGGATATCAAAAGATACCTGTTTGTGCCATGTTGAATTCAGAGTGGATTTCAGAAAAGATTCTTTAAATCTGAGTATTCCTCAGCATGAATAAACAATAGATAAGTTAAAAAGAGCCACTTAGGAATGTAAAAGGCCAGCTTACCATTTCAGGGATGTTCCTTCCGACCCTCAGAGCCAGTGGAGAGATAAATGAATCTCCCTCTATAAGGAACAGAAGAGAAAGTTATCTGGTGTAGCAGAGCACTTGAAATCAACAGTTTCAGATTTTCTCATAGCTCCCCCACTGACTGGCCAGAATTATCAGAGATGAATTATACGCTTCCATGTCCGTAAAATGAAGCTCACAGTACATAGCTTTGTGGCACTGTGGAATGGAATTCATAAGAGAATATGAGCTCCTCTGATGAAGCTGTACCAAAATATGCCCATTACATTAACCTAAGAGCCCTGTTCCAGAGCATCTCTAGACTCAAATCTCTATCTCCACATTATTTAATCCTGTAGGCTTTGTTTATATATAACCTCTTGCACCTTCAGTAATGCACTCCATCTTCATCACTTTAAAAGAGAACTTTACTGTTTTTTTTTTTCTTAATGTTAAAAAATACTGTCAAAACTGTAACCATGAATTTATTACTAAAGAAAATAAACACAAAATTTCTTTTATGATTTTTAGACTTATATTGCACCCACCACCACGAAATCTGAGTGTGGTTTAAAATAAACGTCTTTCACCTTCTGGATGTGCTCAGCTTGGAGTAGGTCTTGCATTACTTGTGAAAATAAGCTGATGGTGTTACAGACCATCCTTCAGCTCAGCAGAATACCAAGAGCCTGTGACAGGTCAGAGTTTCAAAGGTTTGGGTTATTTTTCTTTTTTGGCAAATTATCTTTTCTTGAAGAAAGTAGAAGAAAATGATCAAAAATTAATGCAGCCAAAGAGCGTGAATCCCTACAGTCCCCAGAAATTCAGTGAATTTTGTCAGATTTATTATTATTATTATTATTATTATTATTATTATTATTATTTTAATTTCACTCCCAGATTTCTTTTTCTTCTCTGTCCTCTGCGGAATTTTTTATAGATTTCCAACAGACTGCCTCTACTAATCATTTGTAAGCCCTTGTAAGTTTGCTGATACTGATTTCTGGCCTGTGGCTGAGGATATAAACTTGCACAAACCTAATATATGTGATCTGAAGCTGGCAATGCAGAGCAGCTCATATTAGAACACCTGAACCCCCTCATCTTTGTTATGAATCACCAAGTCAAATAGAGACCTGGTTCCCTGTATGTGATCTCAATTTATACCAAGTATACTTCTTCAAGAAAGCAAGAGGGCAAGCTCTCTTTTTCATGAGAAAGTTCCTGAGCCCGTATTATTTTTCTACAATGTCACCTTTGCCCACCTCTTTCCTTTCTCCCCTTGTGTCAGGTAAAAGGGAGAGCAGATAGCTCTCTCCAGTAACAAATTTGTGGCTGTTGGCTTTTGAGTTCCCACACAGTATTACTCCTTCAGCTGCATTCTGGAGAAATATATATGTATTTCTATTTTATTTCTAGTCTATTTCTCCTTTTAATCACAGCGTACACAAAGTATTTTTGGGGATGAGAGACAGAATAGTAGGGCTTTGTCTACATCTCTGTGGTTCCTTGGTAGATGCTTCATTTCCAAACACTTCAAGATTGTTATTTTTATTGCCCTGGGGCCTCCCAAAGGAGGGCATGAGAAGAGAAGACAGCATAGCTATTTTTTTAATCCTCCTTTCTAAACAAATCTGCAGCGACTATGGGAAACTCTTTCTCTCAGCAATCATGATGGGATTTTTCTAGGAAGAATAAAAATCCCAAACTGGGTATCCTCGTTAACTTTTCCAGACAATAGTGAGTGGAATGGAAAGAATACAGCATTCCTAACTTGTACTTAGTGAAAAAAAGAGCTGCTAAGTTGAGCAGAGAAGGAGGGATGGTTCTAAAGAGGAGACATCAAACTCTTTGATCAGCTAGCAAGTGAACCAGCAGCATCTTTATCCTAAATTGCAAAGGCTTAGCTGACATGTCAGGTGGAGACAAGTGAAACTATGTGAGCTATAAAAGACAAACCTTTACAGATAATTCACCATCTGTAGTGACCTTGGCATCATGGAGACACAATGTATCCCCGAGGCACTACAGGCCCGAAGATGAGATTTTTGCATGTATATAGATCCACAGTTATTCTACTGAAGACAGTGTTAGTATATGATCATGTAAAAGAAAGGGGAAAAATGAATAAAATCACATACAAAGTTCCTAGAAGGTCACATTCTTTTTAAATTACCTACGACACAAGACAACAACACAAGTTTCCTTTAAATGCACACTATTCTCAACAACTTCTCCCTTGCTTATGTAAAAAAACAGTTCTGCTGTTGGGTTAAATGTGTCCTATAACAATTCTCTATTAAATTTCATCCCAAATGTTAATGATTCAGAAATTAAAAAAAATAATCGCATGATACATTTTTTCTTTGAAGTAAATCTGGTAATTGCCAAATCCTAGTCACCAATACAATATTACATGTATGATCCAGACTTCACAAGTGTCAACAAGTAAAT